ACGACCCTGAAAGTATTGTAGACCTGTTTAGCGAACACTTGTGCAATGTTAACAAACGAAAACCCAGCAAGTGAATCACACCTGAACCAAATTCCTTCCTGCATATCGCTAGTGTTGACTTTAGCGTTGACTTTAGGCGATTACTACACTGAAACACTTAAATTGAAGGACCAGATGTGTACCGAATTAGTAATGCATTTGTTTTTGTATTATTGTTTATTTCATCTTATATTTCAGAAATTCCCTAAAGTAAATAAACAATGGAGATTCTGACGGTGATTAATTATGTGGTTAGCCACATCGTCAACTCCGCTAGCAGAACCTTCGGGTATACCGCCGGACGCAATCCCGAATAAAGGGGGATGATTGGGAATAAGGTTGGCGACCCCATCTTAACTAAAAACTAACTTGCCAAAAAAACGGTAACCACAAAAAATATTTCTAACCACTTTAATCCTGTACTAGGAGTTGGAAGAAGAATTATGACGTCGCTTGATGAAAGTCGAGTTCCCTCGTAACTCAAGAGGTCGATTTCCTCCTCTGACAACCAGGACAACCGTTCTTTTAGGTACATGGAACGTTCGTACATTGTTGGAGACTGGAAGACTATTTAAACCTGGAGGTGCTCGTAAGCAGTGAAACGCATTGGATACAGGTAGGACAACTGACAGGGGAACTTCTGTTAAACTCTGGCCATGAAGAGAAAAGTGCTTCACATACACAAGGAGTTGCACTGATGCTGTCCAAACATGCACAAAAGGCACTGATAGGATGGGAATCTCAAGGGATTAAGGAGGCAATCACTTCAACATGTCACGAAGTTCTGGGTCACAAGAAGTACCATCACAAGGAATGGATCTCTGTCGATACTCTTGCGAAAATTGAAGAAAGGAGGAACAAGAAGGCAGCTATCACTGTTAGACGAACAGGAGCGGAGAAAGTTACCGCACAAGCTGCATACACAGAAGCAAACAGGGAAGTGAAGAAGAGCATCAGAGCTGACAAACGAAAATATGTTGAAGATCTAGCAATAACGGCGGAAAAGGCTGCAAGAGACGGAAACTTGAGACAATTGTACGAAACCACTAAGATGCTCGCCGGAAACTATCGTAGACCAGAACGACCAGTGAAAAGCAAGGAAGGAAAAGTAATCAGAAACACTGAAGAACAGCGAAATAGGTGGGTACAGCACTTTCAGGAACGCTTGAATCTACCAGCTCCACTGAAAACATTGTGGAACAATCAATTGAATGGAACTCACCACTCTACATTAACTTCATCGACTACGAGAAAGTATTCGATAGCATGGACAGGAAAACACTGTGGAGGCTTCTTCGACACTACGGTATGCCTGAGAATATAGTTAACATCATACGGAATTCTTATGATACATTCAAATGCAAAATCGTACACGAAGGACAGCTAACAGACTCTTTTAAGGTGAAGACCGGTGTCAATCAAGGTTGCTTACTCTCACCCTTACTCTTTCTCCTCGTGACCGACTGGATTATAGAGACATCAGCATCTGGAGGGAAGCACGGTGTTCAGTGGACAGCTAGGACGCGGCTGGAAGATTTAGACTTGGCAGACGACCTGGCTCTTCCATCGCACAAGCAACAACAAATGAGAGAGAAGATAATAATAATGATAATAATTTATTCTCAAATAACAAACATGTTACAAGAGACATGCCAATTTACAGGCAAGATCAAAATGTTAAGATTAGCAACATATTTTTTTTAAAATGGTATACAGTTACTGAAACATTTCACAAGATTCATTGTTTTCTTAAAGATGGAATGTACAAAGCGAGTAATTGGCGCAAGTTACGAAGGTTGCGTTACGACAATCATCTTATGGACTGAGTAACGATTCATGGTACAGATGGGTTTTCATATAACAAGAATTGATGCGGTGAATGTACAAAGGTCTGGTTGATATTCGTCAGCTAATGATATCACATGTCCTTGGGTAGGGTAACCAAGTCTACTGCAAATATCCAGACTAATATATGTGGATTGGAATAAGGTTCTGAAAAAAGGAATAAAGAAAACGGGACGAGGAGCAGAACAGAAAATATTCATGTTCAAAGCCGAACAATGGCTTTGCACATACGTTTATGGATAAAACAAAGGTATGTTTACCCAAACATTTTTAATATCAGAATACTTTACACCTGCGCTTATGTAGGTTAATGAAGACAATTCAGTAGTGAGATAACTAATGAGAAGTTAGTCGAAAGAATCGATGAAATTCAGAAGAACCAAGTTGTTGGTAATAAAGTTGATTTACAAAATATAATAAAGAGGATCAGTGATATAATTTTTAGGTTTTATTTATTCTTTTTATTTTTAACTGTGAGGCTCAAGAAGTTATGAATGAGCTCTTTTTTAGTATAGTTGTCCAGACCAGCTTGTAATAGGATTTCTCGGTAGGAAGTAAAAACCAGTGCAAGGTTACAGACCAGTGTAGCAGCAGCCTCAGCAGCAGTTTACAACATACATAAAAGGAAAATCCAGATTCTGTTATACAATACAACATGCACCAACCAAATCACTGTTGATGGAGATTCTTTGGAGGACGTTACCACCTATACATATCTGGGCAGCATCATCGACAACCAAGGTGGGTCAGGTGCAGATGTGAGGGCGCGGATCGGCAAAGCAAGGGCTGCATTTCTACAGTTGAAAAATATCTGGAACTATAAACAAATATCAATCAACACTAAAATCAGGATTTTCAATAAAAATGTCAAGACAGTTCTACTATATGGAGCGGAAACTTCGAAAATTGCCAAAACCATCATCCAGAAGATACAAGTGTTCATTAACAGTTGTCTACGCAAAATACTTCGGATTCGTTGGCCAGAAACGATCAGCAATAACTTACTTTGGGAGAGAACAAACCAGATTCGTGTGGAGGAGGAAATCAGGAAGAAGCGGTCGAAGTTGATAGGACACACTGCAAAAAGCACCTGACTGCGTCACAAGACAAGCCCTCACATGGAACCCTCAAGGTCGAAGGAAAAGAGGAAGGCCAAGGAACACACTACGCCGAGAAACAGAGAAAGACATGAGAAGAAGAAGCAAAAACTGGCACAACATTGCGTTTGTTTGTGAAATTTTTAATACTATGGAGCAGCGATATTTTGTATATCAAATAACGTCTTATGACTATCTGCGTTCATACGAACACTGCCTTCGGTGTCAACCCGAATACTGAATAGACAGGCTGCTCCTCCTGGAGGGTGATTTACCTCTCCATAGGTTTTCATACGAGTAAATTCGGAACGCAAACATTTGCAACAGTCTTATGTAGGATCATTCCACGGGATTTCTCGTCACGAAAAGACCTTCAAGCTTGATTGAAGCGGTCAGCAATAATCTTCTCAAGCCAGCGTGATGTTCTACCGAGGTTTACTACTATAATCGTCGAAGTCACTAGCGGAATCACAATGTTTAACTGAGATCCCACGATAGACACATCAAAGTCCTCATTCTCACGTCCCAGTCATCAGCACGCGTCATCTGCACCATCTACGGATGAGACTTCGATCTCACATACAGATCAGCAGATCAAGCCGCACTTGAGAGTGAGGGCTCACGAGGTACACACGAGACTATAGTCTCGCGTTCCGGGCGCTAAGTAAATCTACCTGTACACTTTCGCGAGTAGCCTCAGTAAGCAACAAACAGGGTATGAGATTCTCCCCTTACTATATGCTTGCTACACTTTTTTCTCCTTTTTGATTTTTTGTATCCTAACTCCGCGCTTACGAACATTGCCTTGCTGGTAGCGTCGACATCAGTCTTGGCGAAAGCTGGCCCGATCACCCAAGTTTTTATCAATGGACCGAGTCGATGTTCTAGTTCCGACTACGTCTGACATTCTCTTAGTCTCAAACTTAGCCGTTACGGTGGTGTCTGGTTCCGTCCTACGTCTGCAGTGTTTACTGGTCAGAGCCCCTCCATAAACTATCTTCAGATTCTGGATACGAGCCACACGCGTGGTACATCAACTTGAGCAAAAAATATGGCACGTTACTACTGGAACAGTTCTCCATAGAAGATCGGTGACAACTCGAATATCATCGATCTCTTCCTGTTCAGCAACACTTCCGACCTACAATCCTACCTTTACCGATCAGCCCCACGAACGAAGCCGCGACGTATAGAAATTGTGAAGCCTTTCTAGTGGAAGGTTGCTGGAGTGGATATCCTTTTATGAAGAGAACGCAGCTGGTTCAATAAAAACATTTATTGTTTATCTGTGCTTCTTGTCTGTTACATTCTGTACGCGCACATTTTCTTTGTGTTGCTGCCATTTTGGCTCCGCTGTCTCTGTGATTTCACCCCACTTTTCTGGCTCGGTTCCGGTATTCTTTCGACACAACAAAATCACCAGCAAATATATTTTTCACTAAGCATTATTTTGTCTTTTCAGTGACAGGCTCGTAGTTAACATTTAATGGTGACCATAGTCAATCTCGACTGGATCGCCACTAAAATTTAAGAGTATGGATGAAAATTCCTCTCAATTCGTCAAGAAATCAGTTTATTTTAAAGGTTCATGACGCTTTCCAGATAGTGGCATAATATTTCAGGGGTTTGAAATTGCCAGTTATATGAGCCAAGTATGAATTGCTAGCTAGTGAAATTTGTGTAAGACGTTTGGTTCCCTTCGAAAAGTTGTTATAAATGTGGTGCTTACAGCTTTATAATTTGTTCTTAAACTTGGTAGCTTGTATTGCTTAGCCATTTAGACATGAAAGTTTATGCTGTTCAAGCATATTTAGGAGACAGTTATTTGAACTGACCCCAAAAATGCAGGATCCGAATTCACTATAATACACTGAAAATTTCACTACTAACCACCTGGAAACGCACTGAAAGAACAAGAGTAGAGCAGATAGAAATAGGTTGTTGTATACGAGCAGGGGTAAATGATATTGGATATTGGATCATTAAAGACCGATTTAAACAAGAATCCGTTGGATATAGAGCTATGAACAAATTGGCACGCTACTGACGCTCTTAAGAAATCGCCAGTCTGGACTACCACAAGGTATAAAACTTTGATTATTCAGACATACTAGTTTGATGGAATAACAAGCTTTATAAATAAAGTAGTATTAGTAACACCATACTCAATTGTAAATTATCAATTTAACGTACATTTATGAGGATTCTATTATGAATGAAGACTGAAATCAAAGTCAGCCTTGGAATTTTAAAACGAAAAACCCTATTTAAAACCACTTAATGTACCGGGCAATCTCTTGAAGATTTTGCTTCCGTTTCGGGATTAAATCAACAATGACATGAATACCTGAAATAGTTGCGTCGGCATAACTCATCCTTATATATGTGAAAGTTTGGTTAACCTGATAATATTTATTTAGTGAGTCTCATTGCTTAAACATTCGACAGAATTCGAAGCCTTTCATGACTATTCTGCATACATAACCTTTCTAGTTCCGCCGTAATGCTGGTGCTTTACGGAGTATATCATAATCATTCTTAACATGCGAATCCCACTGTTTATCAAAAATCCATCCATACAATTTTAAACAGTGCTTTTTTTATTTCCCGAAATATTTTTTCGGGGTTGGTTCAGCATCAATAATCACTTACCTATTAGCTAATTTTCCGTGTTGTTCTTTTGCTTAATATTAGCACTTACTCCATTGTCCTTTCAGGTGCCAATTTTTGTGAAAAACGTTGTAATGAAATCCTGGTCTCAAAAAATTTGGTGAATTTTAAAGTTCCGGACAGCAACTTTCCTTTAATCGAAATGGACCTTGTTTACAAGCTGTATAAAAGTCAAGATACCTCATATCTTCCTCGTAAAGTTCTTCAACCTCTGACCTATTTCTTTATGGGATTAGCTTCAAAGATAGCATTGTCGCGTCACCAGCTAAATGTCATCGGTTCGGAACGCTTGTTATTGGCGATTGACAAAAGGCCTAGTAATCAGCCTTTGATTACAGTCACCAATCATCATTCGTGTCTTGACGACTTCTTCTTATGCGGTTCATTACTTAAACTTAGTCATTTTGCTAATGGTATGTAGTGTCAAAACAAACATTATGGAAACATTTAGTAACTGTATGTCGTTGGTGTTTGACAGCTGTAGATATATGTTATACAACATGGCTTCATACTAACTTCTTCTTCTGGTTCAGAGGAGTTCCCGTATGGCGAAGAGTTCGTGACCCACTGTCTGGTAAAATAACTCACTTTGGTGGAGGGGTTTATCAACCTAGTATGGATTTTTGCATAGATTTACTTAATTCTGGCCAATGGGTACATGTATTTCCTCAGGTTTGTATACGTGATTAAATATACTGTTTGATAATTACCATCTGCAACACTGTAGATGTGAGTCTAATCTTCTGAATTCCTTATCATCTCTATTTTTAAATTTTTTTTCATTGGATTATACTCTTTGAATAATTTCTTCGAACCCTAGTCTTCATTACCACTAATACTACTACTACTACTACTACTACCGCTATGGGATTGGGATTGACAGTTTTGTCTGTGCTAGTGTAGTATGGCAAACTTAACTAATGTACGTATATATGAAGCTCTGCTTTGTAGCTGACTGTCTAGTCATTTTAAACATAATTACTTTTCTAGTATGTTAACATTATTCGTATTAGTCCATGTTACTGTACTAATTATATTCCTGTTAAAGTTGGTAAGTTGGCTTTATCTTTTAATGTAACTTATAGCAACTGCTCGAGCAGCTGGTCCTGAGTGATTGACTTATAAGATTTTTAAAGATGGTGGTTCAATTTTAGCAGTTAGACTGACTGAGATCTTAAATAGCATTCGGGTCTCAATCACCGATTGCCCAATATATAAAAAAGTGTAAACGTTCTCTTGTGACAATCACAGAGGAATCAGGTTGACTAATATAGTGTCTAAGATGTTAGCTTCAATAATACTTTGACGTCTAAGTAGGACTCGTGAAGAGCAGACTCGAAAAAACCAGGCTGGTTTTATACCTGGGCATGTATGTGTAGACAAAATATTCACATTTCGTCAGGTTCCAAAACATAGTTATTTCAACGCCCAACAATGGTTGTATTCCTTGACCTAAAAGCAACGTTTGACTCTTTTGATCGTGAGGTTCTGTGGCAGTGTCTGTCATTGAAAGGTGTACCAAAGAAGTACATTGTTACAGGATCTCTACTCGAACACTACGGAATTGATTACCTGAAGTGGTGTCTGTTTGGGCTGGCTGCTCTCTGCATTCTTGTTTAGCTTTGTCATTGACAAGATTTTAGGGATAATATTCTCATCATCTAACTTTTCAGAAGTCAACCTACTAGGAGATTTACTTGTTGACTTGAAATACACAGATGACAGAATTCCGCAAGGTAAAGATGCTGACAAAATGCAGTCTTCTGACCACCAACATCGATGCAAGTATGTTTCAGATGCGAGTGTGTCGACCGCTTCACTTATTTTGATAGTCTCATCAGTCCCGATGGCATGTCATGTGACGAAATCTCTGCACAGATACATAAGGTTCAACTGGCTTTTGCAAACTTTCATCACTTATGGCGTAAGTGAAATATCCGTCTGCTAACCAAAGGACGCGATTACTTCGCCGCGGTTCGATCCGTCCTTTACGAATGGGAAACATGATCAGTAGGAACAGGAGATATTCTTAGGTTGCTAGTATTCTACCAAAGGTGTCTTCGAATACTTACTCGTATATCCTTGGACCATCGAGTAAACAGTCCTGGTGTTAGGAAAAAAGTATTGGGTATGGATGACAAACCAACTGATGAAGTAGTGAATACTCATCGGTCAAGGTGGTTGGGACATGTGTCACGTATGTTTAACGACCGACTACCTCAACGAGCAGTGTTGTCTGACATATGCCCAGACAGTCAGTTAGTTACAACGTAGAACTTCGTACGTACGAACATCAGTTCGGGTTGTCATACCGCATTATCACAGAGACGCAACTGTCAGTTCAATCCAATAGTGGTAGCGATAGTAGAAGTATTAGCAGTAATAGAGAAGGTTAGGGTTCGAAGATATATTTCGAGCAGTATCGTTCAGTGAGATAACTTTAGAAAGGGAAAGACAGAGATGATGAGGAATTCAGAAGGTTAGAATTTGAGAGAACACATGCCGTGTTTTGGTATGGCTACCCCTAGCTTCCTTCCAACGTACTCTTACACCACAAAACATAGCTCGTCGAGACAGTCGGCGGTTGTGCATTCATAACACACATTCCAATCACATCAGCTGATGGAGTTTCACTACTTCATCAATTGATCTGCCATCCCTACCTAGTACTCGTTTCCTAACGACAGCATTGCTTACTCATTTGTCCTTGGATATACGAGCAATGCTTCGGAGACACCTATGATCGAAAACAAGCAGCCTACGAATGTCCTCTTCTCTCACCGACCATGTTTCACATCCGTATAGTAGGGCGAAGCGAACTGCTGCAATAGGGGTAGGCTGGGAAAAAGCTAGAGGTGACCAGATCAAAACATGGAACAAACCCATAAAATCATTGACAAATGAAATAAGCCATGTTAATAAATATAGACTAGCTGGTTAGAGTTCTCGAGGGAGTCGTTATAGATCTTACTGAGTCTCACAAAGGATTGTCATCAAAAACTAATTGGTATTCATTTGACTCTTTATATAATGTTGCGAATAAAACATCAGATATACAATTATCAGCTCGTTAAGGTCCCTTTAAAATAAGTCTTTGGTTTGTCAAATCGATCAATATCGGTGTATAATTGGGTGAGGTCCAAATCATTATTCTAATCGTCTTCTTTTAGGGAAGGATCATTCAACCTCATGAACGTCGTTCTGAACAAAATATTCGCTTGCGTTGGGGAATCGGACGATTAATAGCAGAATCAAAAGAAGTAAGCTTTCGTAAGTTTTAGCTTTATAGTCTCTCATCTATATGTTGCTAGTTTGAAAGCACATTTTCAAGTTTTAATGATAGTTTAAACCGTCAAAGAAGTTTTATCGAACAATCTTACTGATACTGTTAGCTCAGAAAATAGCAAACGCTTGATATTCAACATATTTTCAAATATTAGCACGTTTAAAACGAATATTTAATTCCAATATTTTTCACATGCTAGTTCTGCATCAGGGGAATTGTCACCGTAACTAGAAAATATTATAGGTTGAGCATTTTTATAACAGTACTTGCCCAGTTAATATTAAAACCTGTGTTGTGTTTACATATGATAGTATTTGGCATTAACTAGATTCGGATAGCGATATGTATACGTTTTGATGAAGGTATGTGACTCATAGGTGTGGCAGTAATAGTGTTGACATTTTTGTGAATTATACTCACAAAACTAGATTTCCGTTAGAATGAGATGATGAAAACAACCGATGTGGGGATTATTAGCAACATAATTGTTATCGCATATCAACAGAATATAATATCTCAGAAATAAAAAAGCAAATTAATGTAACTGAATAACAGTTTATTGTTTCAAATGACAATAATACGACAAAGATGAAAGTGAAAGTTTTCAGCAGTGCTCATCTTTTGCTTATTAATCGCTCAGTAGCAGTTAATCGGGTTTCTACCAATCCTTGGTGTTTTTTTCGCACCTCATTTCTTGTGAATGTGACACTCGCAAATCTTTTCAGAAAACATATATAATTCCCACAATTTACTGTTTCGATTACTTTTGTCACATTTACCACCAAGTTCAAGACAGCCCCACGGTTCGTCTCTCGGTTTTCTGCTTTCACTTAGAACTAATTATTTGGACGAAGACCAACCTGTTTTCTCACATTTCTAAAGTCATTATTCATTCTGACGTACTCATAGAGCCTGTAACCATAGTACTTCTTGTGCGAATCATTTTTATTAGATAGTTTTTGAATGATTAGTTCTTCTAAACACAAACGCAATTTATTCCGGCTTCGTTAATGGAAAATTAACTGTTTAAATAAATTTTGAAGCAATCGTGTTTACTAATTAATGCACATCCCAACATAATATCTCAGTATCTCTTATCAGACAGTCAGCCACAGACAATGTGTAGCTTGAAATATATCCGGTTTTTATTTTAGAAAATACCATTCTTAATCATTCTGTTTCTTATTCAACCAAACGTTAGATAAATCTCGTTTTGTAATCCTCGAATTCAACCTTCTTAGACAAATATAATCATACATGTTATCCTGTTTAAAATATTTAAAGAACCTGATCTCAATAACACAAGCAACATCTACACACTCCAACCATATTCTTAATGAACTGTTGCATTTTGACATGTACCTATTTGTATTTGTTCTTGATCCAATTGATTCTTCTGTTGATGCGCTGACAAAAATTTATCTGACGTACATAAGCGCATGATCTGTCTTATGTGACAAACGTGCGTCGTTTATAAGTTAGTTGAATAATGGATTTCTTAAACTCCAGAATTCTATTTTTTCTTTCTTTAGGACCCACTTGTAATTCCCATATGGCATTGTGGCCTAGATGAACTAAATCCTTCTGAGGTACCTAATACGTCCACTACTCTTTCACGTATATTTGGAAAACCGTGTCAACTGACTGTGGTAGTTGGCGAACCAATCGATGTCCAGAGTTTGCGTCAAGACTTAAAGCACAATACATCCGAATATTCGACGTCATTAGAATTTCGTTCAGATGTTCACTCTAAGATAACTCAAGTTGTCCAAGAACAGTTGTACAAACTCAAGGAAGAAACCGAACATAAACATCAAAGACTAAGTCTGACCCAAAAGTTGTGAATAACTTAACCAGAAGTCTAATTTTTCTACTTGTATTTTTTTAAAATACCATAATGTAATAAACTCTTCCAACGTGTTTTAGCATCTAAATTTGTACATTTTCATTAGGACTTTGTTAACTAGACAACTTGTTCGTTTGTTTGTATAATTTCTTAATTAAAGTTATGTAATCCGTAAACTTATTTCTCCGCACTTGATCGCTTCAGACAAAGTTTAATAAACTAGCTACGCTTGTTTTTTTCAATTCTTTTATATCATTGAAAGTAAAAATTATGATACACATTCTCTTCAAAATGAAAGACTGCATCTCGTATTGATTCGCTTTCTGCACTCGTCCATATCTGTCCAATTTTACGCTTACAAATAAGGCAAAATTAACTGACGTTTCTTCACACTGTTCGAGTAAATCCTTGGTATTTTAGTGAAAGGATTATCCCACCAACTACTGGTGAAGGGGTTCCATAGAGGACTGTCGCTTGTTCTAGGGCAAATGCCTAGATTCAGATCATGCTCTAATGCGAGCACGTATTTCTTTGCGACTTACTGGACGCAAGAAAAATATCGCGAGGAAACCTTTTAGGGCTCTACTTAATGTATTCAGGAACAGCTATAAAAACAGTTAAGCAGCCATGTAGTAAGCAATGACCACCCTGAGGCAGCTTCGAATGATATCGAAATGGCTGTGGAAACAGCAGTGATATCATCTTGTAAGGTAAACCATGAGGTTAGGGAAAAGCCATGGATTTCATTGGCATCCCATCTGGCTCTGAACATGAGGAAGAGCTAAGTCAGCTTAAGCGCAGGCTGATGTAAATCCTAAGCAATGATCGCGAACAGTTGTAGCTAGATAAAGCATCAACAGCAACGTAGAGATTTGCATGTGGGTACAGCAGTTGAAGTTGCCATACTACATTAACACAGAGACAATTGTCAATTCAAATCCCATAGTAGTAAAAGTATTAGAAGTAATTGGAGAGATTAGGGTTCGAGGATGTTATTCAAGAAGTATGATTCAGTGAGGTAAGTTTAGAAAGAGAAAGATAGAAGTGATGAGGAATTCAGAAGGTTAGAATTTGAGAAAACACACAGCGAATGCGCTTGCGCCGTTGCAAACGATTTCGGGCCATGTCGTTCAAGGTCTCTAGCCATCGATTACTATCATCTCGCGGACCCCAACCAGGTAGCCTACACTTGCCGACATGACTCAGTCCACTTGTCAGTGACTTCTCCTGGTGGGAGGTCTGCTCCTAAAAATTCAGACGAGCATAATGTTATATCTAGGAGCATGTCTATGACAAAATTGAACAAGAATGGAGAAAGTGAACATCCCTGACGGACACCACTTGATGTAGAGAATTCTGATTACAGTTCGCCATAAGCTCTAACTCGACCTGTAGTGTTCCAGTAGAGAGCTTGTATAAGGTTAGTGTACTTCTTTCGTACAACTTTCAATGACAGACACTGCTGCAGAACCCCACGATCCACAGAGTCAAATGCCGTCCTGGGGTCCACAAAGACAACTATCGTCGGACGCCTAAATGTGTGTCTGTTCCAGGACCTGTCGTAGTATGAAGATGTGGTCTATAAATCCACGTCCGGGTCTCGTTTTCTCTAGTCTGCTCTTCACGAGCTTTCGTCAAGCGTCGGAGATTCAGGAGATTCATTGGTTGACTTAGAATATTCCGATGACATAGTCCTACTTGGTGAAGACGCTGACAAAATGCAGAGTCTTCTGATTACCCTAAGCAACAATGCAAGCATGTTCGGGATGCGGTTTTCCCCCTCGAAATGCAAAATGTTGCTTCAAGATTGGGTTGCATCGGCACCTGAACTAGTGATAGGGAGTGAAGTAGTTGAGCGTGTTGACCGCTTCGCGTATCTGGAGAGTCTCATCAGTGCTGATGGCCTAGTGACTGACGGAAGGCTCGATTGGCTTTTGACAACCTGCGTCACCTATGTCGCAGGCGAGATATCTGTTTGCTGACTAAAGGACGAGTGTACTGTGCAGCATTTCGCTCCGTTCTCCTATATGGCTGTAAAACATGGCCAGTGAGAGTAGAAGATATTCGTAGGTTACTGGTTTTCGATCATAGGTGTCTTCGAAGCACTGCTCGTGTATCGTGGGACAGCCGAGTAAGCAATGCTGTCGTTAAAAAACGAGTACTAGGTAGGGATGACATGTCAATAGACGGAGTAGTGAAACTTCATCAGTTGAGGTGGTTGGGACATGTCTTGCGTATGCCGAACCACCGACTGCCTCGACGAACTTTGTTTTGTAGTGTAGGAATAGGTTGGAAGAAAGTTAGGGGCGGTCAGACCAAAACATGGCAGAAATCCATTAAGTCACTGACAAGTGAACTGAGTCATGTCGGTAGGTGTAGGCTGCCTGGTTGGGGTCTGCGAGTTGATAGTAATCAATGGTTAGAGACCTTGAACGACAGTGCTCGAAATCGCTTGCAATGTTGCAGGTGCATTCATTCATTGTGAGCTATCTCGCTGAATTATACTTCTCGAATCTTGTCTTTGAACCCTGATCTCCATTACTGCTAACGCCTCTATTATTTGTACCACTATTGGATTGAACTGATAGTTGCGTCTCTGTGATAATGTGGTTTGGCAAACTGAACATATGTACTCATGCACGAATTTCTACGTTGTAACTGACTGACTTGTGGAAATAACTAGTGATATATTTGGATTTTTCTGAACTTGATTCAGTCACACGTTCTTGTATTCTTACACATTGAAAACCTAAAGCGTTGAGCTCAGTCATAACATTTGAGTGCTCAAGAATACTCAACCGTTTGATGAAAGTAGGGCGTTTTCATTATATCAATTAAACTGTATCTCTATCTTCCATGCGTACCGACCTCTTGAGAATAGCCTAGTCTCAAGTGCTAGAGACACTTAAGATTATAGCACTTGTGAATGCATCTTACTGATCAGTTTTAAAAATACTCAGACCTCTAGGATTCTATTACATTTTTTTTCAGCTGGTCAGATGACTGAAATGCTCTTATCCGTCAACTAGCGCACATATGATTGGGCATGCCGTATTTGCAATACTGTATCCTCTAGAAAACTATTCAGTGCTACACAATGTGACGTTAATTTCTGTTCACGTCAATCGCGACAGAAAACCGATTGTAAACCACCCTGGTAATCTTCTTTCATCATTAAATTCTAAAGCATGCACCCTGAGGTCTTTGTAAACTCTTATTATTTCTCAGCCGTATTTCTGAATCTGCTCAGCGGCATATGATTGTAGTTTTAGTTTTCCAGGCCAAACGTCAGGATCTTATATCTAGTTTATGCTACATCAATCTGGTACAATGTTAAATATTTAAAAATTGCCCAAGATAAACGTTCTCACATTGTTTTATCTACTATCGTGTTTATCTTTTTCAGCGCACTTAAATCGTAAATTTGACATTAAAATAATCATCTCTTTGGCTTCTTTCTTTATCTGTTTATCTAACAATTAGGCAGTGCTAATCAAAGTTCCTCTGTTTAATACGCCTCCATGATAACTTCGAGTTAAGTTTTAGAAAGCCTTATTTTATCACAGTAATATGAATGTATCACTTTATACAATCTACTGTGTAGTGATGTTAACAGACTATTGGCTCTATTGTTTCACTCATTTGATTTTAGCGCAAATATTGTATTGTCGTAAGTAGTGAGCATATATTTCGATACTTATGGAAATGAGTAGTATGGAGTAGAAAAATTGTCATAAAAACCAGACTTTACAACTAATTTTCAGTGTTTTTGAATAGGCTTGACATCATTTTATTATTCTAAGTGAACATGATATAACATACAAACTAAAAAACCGAGGATTTCCACAATTTGCAGTTTCAGTCAGCGTCCTGTTCTAATTTCCACAAATATTTATTGTGGGTGGGACAGAGGGTTTACATGTCAAAATTTCTACATTTTGGTTTGGTTTCCGCATTTTCAAATCTTCATTCAGATGCAAATGTGTTCCTCATTACTGAAATAATTCTCATTTTAAAAATACCATCGTGAAAGCAACTTTATAAGTATAAGCTAAAAAAGGTGATTGTTTATTGGTAGGGATATTCTCTATTTCCCTGTATTAAGCAGTTTTTCATCTGGTGCACCTCCGATAATTATTTTAAGAACTTGCAGTGTGCACCAATCTCTTTTTTCAATGTTTTTTGCGACCAGGAGGTTTAATCAGTGCAGCAGTTTGTCTGTCTGCCCTTGAGATCCCAGTGAAATCCAGAGTTATTAGTTTTGGCAATATCGAGAGAACCATGTAAAAGTAACCCTGCAAGTGGAACAAAATAATGTACAGCCTGGAAATCATCAAGTGAAATAATAACAACGTTCAGAATTATCGACTTCCAATAAAAGCGTTTGAATATGATAACACGACTAAGGAAAATGCCGGTGATTTCTCGGCAAAAATTAACAATCGTGAAACAATCAATCATACTTACTTAAGGGACAAAACATGGTTTCTCCCACCATATACTTTCTCGAGATCTATGTTCATCTAGTCTTTAAACCCAAATATCGACTAGTGCCTCAACTATGCATAGGGAAATTGCTTTGAGTAATCGAACAAGCTTCCTGACTATGCTTTCGGTTACGACATATTCAATTCCCGAAATTCTATCATTTCATAACAGGTTTGTTGCTAGTTTCTCAGAGATAAGCCTGTTTGATGTATCTTTAAAAGTAAGGAACACCTCAAATTAGAGTAGTTCGTGATTCACTCACGTAAAATATCTGCAACGAAAATATGAACTAATAAATAAAACGTCTTAATTCGATTAGTATTATCCTTTCAGCTTGAGATATGTACTGTGGTATCCACTGGAGAACTACGCAACTAGCTGAATGGTATTGTTGAAATCTGAGGTGTAGGGCTTTCGAGAACAAAAAGGAAAAGCATGTTCAGCAGTATTACCTTTTCTTTTTCAACTGGGTTTCCATGTAACGTAAGTCTCGACAACTCTGGTAACTGTTGGAGTTTTGTTACTTCCTGGAACGATGCTAATTTGTTCCCGTGCAAGTAGATTATTTTCAGGTGTTTAAGACTACTTAAAGACTGGGCTGAAATTGAAAGTGAAGACGGATTTCAATTTACATTTGAAATACTAGATATGTTGTTGCAAGATATATCTAACCATGTCAAGCTAGACGTGTCGCCAAAAAGCTCAAAAACCACAGTAGGTAGTGCAGAAATGTCCTCTATTTGGTTGTTGTTTATCTTCAGAGTCTGGGAAACCCATTTGCCATCTCTGCCTCTTTTAATGACCAAATTACTGTTAGGTATTATTCTCGGGTCCGAAGTAGGTAAGTCTTTCGAAACTCATGAGTGTATAACCGGTATTTTTAATACCTGCCAAGTTATTTATATTCATAAAAGAATAATCCAAAGGTTGCAAAATATCCAATCTCTTATCCGATTGGGTCCCGTCAAAATTTTCCTCATTTCTATAACAAATTCACATTGGTAAACATCTCTTACAGTCCAGTCATATTACCGATGACATAGCGTTTGGAATGAGTTACTTGAATTATTTGAGGGACGTTTCTCTGACAGCAATAAGTAAAACACTGCTTTCAATATCCAAGATAGATAGTTGGCTTGTATATTTGTCTCTTCTTAATATCCAACGTCTCTACACAAGCTAGCATAGACCACTTTATTTCTTTGTACTTGATTCTTGTTCATGAGGTATGGCCTCAGATATTTGGTTGTACTGATGTTAAGAAAGAGCTGATTTGCCTAGTCAAACTTGAATATGATTGTCTGAATCGTCAAGTTCCTCTTATTATTCAACAACGTTGGCTTGTTTAATAGTGTAATTCATTCTGAGGGTTGCGGTCAGACAAAAGGTTTCCATTTGTTCAGCTTCCTTGTTACTGATATACTATGTTGGGACTGACATATAAGACAAGAAGAAATAAAAAGGTATTTGTAGATTATTGTAAAATCTGAGTCCACGGAATTATATAAAATATCCGATTAGAGTACTCTGAAGGTTTTCCAAGAGTAAACTTAAATATATTTTTGAAAGGATATCCAAAGCTTCTAGAATGCTTAGGACCCTTATGTGTACAAAATATGAAACAGCTCACATCCTTGGGATTATCGGTGTACGATTTTTGACTCGTAACGTAGTCTAGGAATGGACTTTGTGGTATTCCTCTGAGGAAACTCCGAATCACACATCTTTTTTGAGAAAGCATTTTTGGTTGACTTGGTCATTATAAAACGGGCATAGAAGCAATCAAGGTAAGATTAAACTTAAAACCATATTATTCACAGTTTACATTCGATTCTACTTCATAAAGTGTCATGTTTAGTGTTACTAGTAGGGTTGCTTGATAGTGCCGGCGCCTGAGACGTCTTTCAATTCGAAGATACTAAAATTAGCTAAACCCGGATGCATGAATGAAATTGTTGGCAGATGTATTTTGGAAAAAGCTCATATATACAACCTGAGCTGACTAGTTATTGTAAGGGATACGAAGAATTGCGTGCCCAAGTTTCATCTGAAGGGAATGCTCAAACGAGTACTGCTCTTTGTTGTAAGACTAAACTTCACACGTTCATCTGTGATTTACTTTCCATACTGCACGTTTATATTGCAAACTTTGGTTTCGATTCATTTCAATGCAACACGGGATCGGCAAATATGTGAACAGCTTTTAAAGTTTGTTACCCACTTTGTTGTATGTAGTTGCACTTACAGATCTGGCAATGAAAATATTCTTATCGAAATGAACATTCCATAAAACTGTCAGCATATTCGACAACGATGTATTTTTTTCGTGACACCATGACATATGTTGGAACCAAACGTTAAATTTATAATTAAATGGACAGAAGTTTCCGCACAGCAACGTTCAATCAACCCGGTGATAAATTCCTTATTAAGCATGTTTATGTTGATGAATTCACAGAACAAAATAGCCCTTAAAAGCTGAAGCATCATTTAGATTTTAGATTCATTAACATAAAATGAGCACACCAACAACGATACCTTAACATTTCATTTCGTTATTGTAACCTAATAATCGCAAAATATTTTTCGTAAACTATTCAAATGATATTCGTCGATAAAATGACATAAAGACTGTGCAGTGCTAAGGCATTGTTTCGTGGTAGTCATCCAACAGATCGTTTCAGTCTACGTATCGACTCTTTATTTATTCAATAATAAAAAAGCTGTCCGATTCATTGAGTGGCCTCTCAAAATGACTATTCACGTGAATGAATTCGGAAGAGTCTCCCGCAGATTTTAAATGAAATTACCGCGTCTGTTACAACAGTGGCAGCGTTTGGCACCAACGCCTATGATATAAGTCAAAGAGAAATGACTTGATTTCGTATTTTACTCCATAAATATCTCCGTTCACTCTTCAAACTTACATGCAGGACTCAGTACCGAATCGACAATATCTGTATCAACAAAAAGTTCAGAAGGACTATGGAGGATGTGAGAATCAAGAGAGGAGCTGATATAGCCTAAGATCACCCCTTGCTGGTCTCTAAAATAAAACTGAAACTCAAGAAACACTGGATAACGGGGCAGACAAAATCACACAGGTTTAATACAGCCTTTCTGTGGGATACCGTAAAACTCAACGAATTCAAGATAGCCCTCTCCAATAGGTTCCAGACCTTGCACGATATACTCATTGGAGAGGAAGCAACATTTGAGAACAATCGGAAATGGATCAAGGAGGCAATCACTTGAACATATCATGAGGTTCCGGGCCACATTAACCACTGTCTCAAGAAAAATTTCCCTGTTGATACCCTGAATAAGATTCCACAATGAAAGCACAAGAAGACAGTAATCAGCAGGAACTACAGCAAAAAATGTCGAGACCCAAGCTGAATACATCGAAGGAAGCAAGAAAGTGAAGAGGAGCATCAGGATTGGTAGGCGAAAATGCTTGGACGTTAGGCAGTGATGATGCGAGGGAAGGATCCTGAGACAATGACATAATGCAACGAAGAGGTTTGCAGCAAAATTTAGCAAACCAGGACAAGCAGTCAAGAATAAGGAAACTTAGCCGATCGCTGTCTTCGAGGAACAGCGAAACAAGAGGGTGGAGCAAAAGGAAAAACTGTTTAATATACCAGCCCCATGAAACAAACTCAACATCGAGGCACCAGCAACAAAGCTCCTGATTGATAGTGATCTAATAAAATTTGAAGCAATTGAGATGGCCATCAGATAAATCATCAGTGTCAAAGAAGCAGCACCAGGCAGCATTTCAGCTGAGGCACTGAAAGCGGATACAGCAATAAATGCACGGATGTTCCACGCTCTCTAGCGAGATTGCGAAGGAAGATGAAGTACCGACAGACAGTAAAGAAAGACAACGCGTCAGGATACCAAAGGAAGGAAATCTTGAGATGTGGTAGTACTACAGAAGCACCAATTCTCTCCCCATATCGGGCAAAGACTTCAAACGAGTGTTTTTAAATGGAACAAAAGATTCTGTAGACGCCCAACGTCGAGATCAACGGGCTGGATTGCAATAAGATAGATCGCATGACAACCAAATAATGATAATTGTGCAACAGTCAACTGAATGGAATTCATCATCATACATCAACTTTCTTGACTACGAGAAAGCATTGGGTTGACTAGACGAAAGTGTAGAGGCTTTTTCGACATTAGGGAGTTTCGGTTGATAATCGATATCGCACGGAATTCCTATGATGGACTACACTACAAGATCCTACATGGAAGACAGCTCACAAAATTGTTATTAGTGAAGACCGGTGTCAGGCAAGGTTGCTTACTATAACCATCTCTCTTTCTTTTGGTAGTTGACTAGATTATGAAGACTTCAACATCTCAAGGAAAGCATGGAATACAGTGAACAGGTCGGATGCATCTGCAAGATCTGGACTTTCAGATGATCGAGCTATCTTATCACATTTACAACAGCGAATTCAGGGGAAAACGGCCTGTGTAGCAGCAGACTCGGCAGCAGTAAGTCTCAACACACAAGGAAAAAGGTAAGTTTTTCCGATACAATACAACATGCACCAACTAAATCCGACCTGAAGGAGATGCATTGGACTATGTAGAAATCTTTACATACATGGGCAGAATCACTTATGAGGACGGTGGATCCGATGCAGATGGGAATGCGCGGATCCGTATAGCTAGGACAGTATTTCTACAAACGAAGAACATCTGCAGCTCAAAACAACTTTCAATCAACACCGTAGTCACAATTTTCAATACGAACGTCAAGACCGTTCTATTGTCTCGGGACCGTTGTCCAGACAATATCAGTAACAACTGTAGGAGAGAACAAACCAGATTCCAGAATAAGAAGATATTCAGAGAAAGGTATGAAGTGAATAGGATATAAATTGCGAAATCATTCAACTGTCACGAGGCAAGCCCCATTCTATGATCCTCACGGCAAAAAGCAGAGAGGAAGACTAAGGAACACATTTCCCCGAAATCGGAGGCAGACGTGAACAGAACGAATAGCAGTCGGGTAAAACGAGGAGGGAAGCATCGGGACAGATTAGGTTGGAGAATGCCGGTTGGTGACCTATACTTCACTAGGGGTAACAGCGGTTATTTAGTAAGTAAAATTACTATTTGAAGTTGGTATTTACCTTGAGTGAATTCATCATTTCAGCTTATTCCGCTGAACGTAATTTTATGTAAATCTCAGTTCGATAAACTGAAAGGGATTACGGCTTGATAGCAGATGATTAATGCATGAAGGAAAAATATATTGCTCGTAATATTTATTTACTGATTATACTTTGTAACTTAATTCCATTAGAAAATAGCAGTTCTTAGACTGAAAGACAATCTATTCAACAAAAAGTATGGAATCGTCATTGTCACAGTTATTGACGGATGTTGCTTCTTGGTCAGTATAGTAGTAGTATAAAAGTAGCATCTATTTCAAGAACGAAAGTTGAACGATTATGAAAGGCAGAAAATTGACTAAAAGTCTGTGATTTCTAGTTATTTAACAAAGTGAACATAACTGTCCAGTACCATTTTATACTTACTCTTTTGATAAACTAAATTTATTTATAACATAAACATATTTTTCGATAAAAATAAATTGCAAAATTTCATATAATCAGGTTTATGAAGTAGTGAATGTAAATGGATTTTGAAAATGCACTCTGTTATGTTTTTGTTATGCTCATCAATTGATATGCTTGAAACTATTACGAGTTCACCTTAGTCGGTAAACGTCAGCAAAGACAAATGATCAAGTGACACGATATGCTACTCTAATCCGAGCGTCCCAAGACCCCACTAAGTAGTGGAAGAAGTCTTGATAAGATGTAGAAAGTGTATTCTATAAGCATCCAAAAAATGTGAAGTTCACAAGCATACAAATCGAGTTTATTTATACAAGATATAAACGTGTTTAGGGGAGCCACAAAAATAGCGTACTAAAATAATACATCAACAAATAACAGTCAAGGATTTTCCTGGTGAGAAATGTAATCTCAAGGTCAACTGATCAGCCCATACTCGAAAACGTAAAATCCAAAATTAGGACTTTTATCAGATGAATTCTGGGTATCTAACGTCCCCAATAGTTTTCCAAAGCATTCAACACATCAAACTACTTGATATGATGGCCAAAGTTGATTTAAAATGAATGTTTTTCTCGTAATCCCAGCTATAAAACAACATCTATGTCCTACAATAAGACAATTAATTCCTCTTTTGAGCAAAGCAAAAAGTAGATTACTGATCTATTTGAAATTTTAAAGCGAACACACAGTGAAAAGCAAACAATCACGTTTCAATTTTTCATTTAAGCCACATGATTATTTGCTATCTTTTTATTTCATAAAGTCAATTTTTTGCACCGAATCCATTTATCTTTGTTATCGATTTATTTTTATTCTCTTCTATGTCATGTTAATATTCCAGTTCTTCGAATGACTAGTTCTCTGAAAAATCCTTTCAATTGTCAGTTGCCTTGCTTAACACTGTACTTCATAGACATAGATATATATATATAATGTCAAAAATGATTATACGTGCAGTCACATACAATAAATAAAACAAAGCTTAGGGTATCATACGGAACAATATTTAGAACTATTTTATTTGTTAATTATTTGATTTCATGACAAACAACTACCTTTGGGGGAGCATTTTCAATATTTAACTGATGATACTGGTAAGAATAAAAGATAACTAGACTTAATGAGGAGATTAATGATAATCTGTTGTTATTCTCTTATAAATTTCTTTTCAGAAAATAAAATGGTGAATGAAAGATACTGAGATAAATTTAATTAGTGATATTCTTTGGTAGCAGTAAGTTAATACATCACATCGAATTAATGATAGTTGATCTCAAGTAAGCAGTTAAACTTTTGACTATTATCAAGCAATAAACTACTTCAACTAGTTAAAATCTAAAATTCTAACTCTAAAATTTATGCTAAATTTCACACTTGTTCTTTCATAGACAAATAACTGTTGACTATATGCAAACCAATTAAAATCAAGTTGTCAATATAGACGACCTTAATATTTAATTTGAATTATACACAGCTAAAAATGTGAACGATAGAATTTTTTTTCTTTCGAGTAAGAAAAAAAGAAAAGCCAAACATATATCATTTGAAACATCTTTTATTTGTTCATGTTTTATAGTTGTCATATACATGTTAGTACCGAAATTCACTGACAATGATGAAGTACAAAATATTTTCACATTGTTTCAAACACCTCGTGAAAGAATATTTTCAACTGATTATGATTATACGCCAAGAAAAAATATGAGAAAGTTTGTCCCAAAATATTTACAGCAACAACAACAACAACAACGAGCTTACACTGCTAAAAATCAAAATCCACGTCGAAACAAACGTCGTCCACATTTAAAGAAACCAGACTTCGACGAACACATAGATAATTATGACGACGAGGAGTATGACGATGACAATACAATGCAAGATACTGATTATAATGATCAAAGGGATGAAAATCGAAATACACAGAATTACATTAACAATAAATTGAATTATATGAAAAAGAAACCTATCACATTTTCAAATTATTATGCAGATATTAAAAATATTTTAACTTATCAACATACACCTGATAGTTGTATATTTTATTTAACGTTAAATTCAAATAAATTAATAGGACCGTTTATATTTCATCCTCAATTGAGTAAGTTTATTTAAAATTATTATTTTCTTTTTTTTAGTTTAAAACAAAAACACTACTTTGAACTTTTATCTAAATATTGATCCCGTTACAGTTTTATCTGTGAAATTTAAATAAAATAAAATGTGTTGATAAACAGATAACATTGAACGATTCATATCCTTAAAAAGGAAGTTTATGTGTTATCGAATACTTACTCAATGACCATGATGACTGGAATTTTAAGCCATTGGATCAAACCTCCATTAAGTATTGAATAACCTGTGATGTAACATGATCCCATATTCACTTAACTGACTTTCATTTTTCATCTCTGTAATACCAATTACATAAAAAGATCACATCTTTCCATTATTATTTCAAAAAACTTTTTTTAAAACACGTTCTACTAATTAGTATGTTATCATTTAAGCTTATTATTCTAGTTAATTTCTTAATTTAAAACTGGTTTAAGTATTATCAAACGAAAATTAGATTGTATGGTTATTTATAACGAAATTCAAAGTGACAGAATGCAGACTGTTTCATTCAACAGAAAATCATATAAATCATACAATAACATTGTATAATTTATAAGAGAAAATAATAAATTTCAAATTGTACTGACTTGTTTATTATTTTCTTTTGTTAAAAATAAAATTAAATGATATGAGCGCATAATTCAAAATTATTAATATTGGCGGGCTGATTGATTGAATTTCAATGACGGGTTTGATGTGTACATAAAAAAAGATAATCGTATTTCTTCTAGCATCATGGACCGTTGACATCGAAATGTGAATTTGTATAACATGATGTTAATAAAAAAAATTATCATCAAACATAGATTCAATAGTCATAATAATCCTTCGGAGTCATTTACAGACTATTTGTTTATTCTTGTACATGAGAATATTGGCAGGTTAGAGGATAAGCAAATTTAATGTCTATTCTCATTGTTCACTTTTAGTATTTTACTTCAAAAATAGTATTTTTTCTTTTAAAATTAATTATAATCATAATAATTATTATATTGAATGGTTATTTGTAGTTTAACAAGTGAATAAATATCTTTCAAATCAATCACTTTCGATTCAGTCTAAAAAGAAAAATCGCAACAAAGGTATAAATACTCAAAACGTAACTGTTGTAAACTGGATGTACAAACTATCAAAAATCAAAGCCTTAGTGGTTATTTTTGCTATTAAGTAATATTTGAAGTGAAGAGTAGTGGATTATACAATCTCGAGTTTAGTTAATGCACACCTATGGTCACACATGAGATTAAACCAAAAACTTACAAACATATCAATTAAGATGATACATTTCAGTCGATGAGTCATGAAAAAAATAATCAATATTTTGACACAAATAGTATTAATGCACTGTAGAATGAAATTTTTTAGACGGCACAAACATCTTGTGTTTTTTTTATGCAGAATATTTTATAGTTTAACTTTTGAAATTAAACTTTTCATTTGCACTATTAGGCGTCAATAGAAAGTCGAGAATTCTGTTCAAAAATAACTGCAAAGATAGTCTGTGATCATCATATTTTGGCTTTAAAGCGTAAAGAGACTGAATCGGAAATATGGTTTTCTTAAAATTGTTTTCCAGTAGTGGCATTTTAGTCCGATTTCAATGTTCAGTACATAAATAAAATAATATCACAGTATTTCCTTATTGATTAGTAATATTCTTCATTGCTTCTAAACAGATCAAGAACAAGACAAATACTCAGATATATTTCTCCAAAGTGGAAAAATCAATGCGTTTAATCCAAAAGGTGAGTATTTGAATAGATATAACAAGGTGTTAGTTGTTTGATATAAATAACATACTAAAATGCACTCTTTATTGAATTAGAAGTGTTATAGCTTTTTGTAAAAATAAATCAACTCTGAACGATGAGTGAATATTAATAAATTATAATAATGTTACTCTGACAAATCCTTCATATGTGGTTAGGTCATTATTTGAATTTTAAAACTTCTGGCATTTTAGTAGCTGCGCTTTTGACAGAAGTTATGATTTTTCTTAAAGGTAACATGGACTTGAAGCAGGTACTTTTCCAATCTCATGACTCGTCTGATGCAGATTTATGTCACTTATCGAAGCCAAATGATTAGCAAAAGAATATTTTCACTACAAACTGATATCAGTTCAATAATTACCGAAAACCAATTCAAAGAACGAAACTTTACCATGGTTTTCTGTTACATCTGATTTGAATCAAGGAACTCATATTTCGAGTCTGTCGATATGAAATGCACCAAAGGTAGAGTGGACGAAAATACCATTTCTTTTGTAATAGGACCCAAAGCCTTTTCTATTGAAACTTGTGCTAATTTAATTTATGTTTTCTCTGAAGAAGTGACTTGCAATGAGTCACAAAATTTCAGGATTTTAGTTTTTCATCAGTCGAAATTCTGCAAATTTGTTATTTCAATTATAAACGATCGATCCAAACGTCAATTTATTCAAAATTATCAAATCAAACCTCGATAATGACATTTACTGTCATATTTCAGATAAGTCAGTACACAGTACACAGTCACCTAACTTGTTATGAAGTAGCTTTTACGTATTCATCACAAGTCAGCTAACCTTTTCTCAAACACTACGATAATGTAATTCTTTCGGATGTATTTTCTGCATAAATTTTGTTATTCTTTATATGATGCAGCCAAAAAATATTTGAACGCAACTTTGATAAATTTGATTTTAAATTTTAGTGGCGTAAAATATTCAAAATGTATTTACTTTGTTTACACAAATATGATCATTAGATGACGATGGAGTTATTATTAGATGAAAAGTTTCCATTTTGATAAAAAACATTTCAGATTTTGAAAATCCTTTTTTATCTTATTATTATTTTTATCATAATTATTATTATTATCGTTAGTTTTGATAAAGGTGATTTAATTTATGTGATCCAGATGGTGAAATCGCATTTCCGTTAAATTTGAAACAGTTATTTATTTGAAAGGTTCACATTTTCAATCTTTATTCATTGAAATGTTTTTATTCTCTTCAGATCTTCTGTACATGAGAAATCATTATGAAATACCGGTGAATAAAATACAAGTTACAGATCAAATTCTTGATGCTGCCTATGATTTAGGTATGTTTAAATTATACATCAGTGATAAAAATTATGCTCAGTGTATTCATGGGATATATGATTATTACATCGCGATATACATACTTCACATTCATTTTCGTTATTAATCAATAAATCTTAGTTTAAAAACCCCTACAGAATATTCAAAATTAATCATTGATCAGGAAGTAAACAATTAAAAGATTTAAATAGTCGAACAGCAGCTCGACTACAGGGACCGTTTGGCATAGGTGTGGCACACAAACCAACAGAATCACTTCAGTCAATCCTATGTAGACCTAAGGACAAAATGACAAAGGGAGAAAGACCAAATATCATCTACAAAATAAATTGCTCAGATTGTGAAAAACACTACATAGGAAAAAGTGAACGGCCTCTTCAGCTTTGTTGACGTGAACACCAATTAGCAGTCAAACGACACGACAATTCTTAGCTTATATCAATACACACGCACTATTATGGACATACATTTGATTGGAACAATGTGAAAATACTGGATAGGGGAGCATGAAAAACACTAGAGAATTTTTAGAAGCCTAGCACTCAGGTGAATTAGCAGTCAGCAAACAAATCGACGTTGACCCAATTTATGAACTAATCAGAAAAATCGTAGGCGACATAAGATCAAGAAACAGATCAAAAGTGGGATACAATCAATGCATTTTTGAAGTACCCTCAATTTACCGTATAATGAAAAATAAATTTTTCTATACAACTTTACCATAAATTACAGTCTTTCTTATTTGAGTAATTGTTTTATACACAGTGCTGGTGAAATTTTCTTTCATGTATAACTTCTCTATTGGTTTCGATACTTTCAGAACGTTTCATATTGGATGAAACTACTCGGAAAATTCGTTCTCCTATCAATCGTCCATATGTTGATCATAATTTAACACAACTAATCAATGATTTAATTGGCAATAAACAATTCACTATTACAGTAGGTTATTTAACAGAATTTATGATTATTATTATTTTAATACATTGATAATTTGATGAACTGATTAATAAGCAAGAAGTGAAATAAAATATTTTAGCGACCAACTGATACCTACTGCGCTTAGTTTGACCCTAACTGTTCAATGATAGTACTTATATAAGGCTAAGGTTATTATTGATAAATGCATAACAGCTTCTTTTCAAACAAAAAACATACATATTTTATGCTTTCGATTAAATCATTGACAAAGATGGTAAAAATCAATTTGAAAAAAATAATAGAAATTAACTTCATCCATTCGATCCAAATAGTTAGAATTAATTTATTAAAAAAAAAACTGATATCTTAAGAGAATTTTTATGTTTAGAATAAATAAATGTGATTTTTCGATACGGTTGTTTGAAACTGAGTCAATCGATTAGTATAAATAACTAACTACATTTCACTATATTGAATTTGAAATTAGAAAAATTTAAACTCATATTGGCTTTGTGATGATTATCATTTATTTTTTGAAGTCATCAAAAGTTAAAATTCCGCCCACTCCTTACTACATTGTGATAAATCAGTTTGTCAGAGTAAAACATGATTGGACTGAAGAAAATACATGTAAACAATTTATCAATTGAATATCCTTAGTTCTGTCTAGTGCACTGTAAACTTAATATAACCTAATATATTACGAATAACTAAATTTGATGTTTGGCTAATGAGGTCCATGAAGATAAGTTGAATTTGAAGATGATCTGTGTCAAGGAATCAGATATTTTGAATAACTAGTGAAAACCTGGGAGCAATAAACAACCATTTTGCCAATAAAAACTGCATACTCATCCAGTTACATTTAGACGGATGTGTTATGTTTCATTGATCTACCTTTCCAACCTTAGTTAGTTCATGGAATACCTTGTCAGTCTTCCAATAATACAGATGAACAAGTGTTTTACTATTAGAATCGGTAAACTCGATTGTTCTTAACATTTTACTCGAATGTCCAGAATCTGGTTCATAGCTAGCAATTGGTGAGCATGTAAATAAACGATTAATTGATTTATGTAGACTGTTTCAGTTCATCTATAGTTTTCATTATTGAATGATGTCAGGTGGAGAATATTAGCTGTTTATGTGGACATACTAATGAATATTTTCAACAGTATAGTTTTCAAATGCTCTGCGGTTTTCAGTAACTTCAATTCATGTATGTTAAAAAAAATCATTTTCTAATTAAAAAAACACAAATATACTGGTAACTTATTGGCTATCAGACCTATCCGCTCTACAGAAATTAAGCAAATCTATAGTTTCTCAAGTATACTTAAGTACTAGCTCCAATAAATTCAAAAACAGATAGATTAAACTAGAATGAAGTACATAGATTCTAAAATCTTATCAGTAAAAAAAATTTATTTGCTCGCGTCGTAATTTCGTTTGCATAATCAATTCTATTTACTTTCGTAAATACACCAAAATGAAAAAAATGTTTCATTTTCAATATCAGCATAAAATTTCATGAAATAGATTTTTGATTAGTAAAATACCTGAATAAGTAATTACAAAATCGACTTCAAATACTCAGTTCTTTGAATCGAAAATTGATAGTTACATTTTAAAATCTTTTAAAACAATAAATTAATGAAAAAACTGAGAGAAATTAACTATCTTGTATAAAGTTTCCATATCAACCTTCTAAAAACCTACTGCTTATAAAAAGCTACCCCTTTCATAATTAAAATATGTCAGTTTGGAAGTGATTGAGAATTAAAAATGAGCCGGTCACATATTGTCCTTCAAACTGAAATACGTTAAAAGTATTCTATACCATGTAGAGAAATGTCAAAAAAACTATGACCTTTCCATACTTCACTGCTCTATTAAGTTCACAGAGCATTGAGCAAAATTCTCTCATTTAGACGATCATAAAATTTAAATTGCGATTTTATATACTTAAAACAAATAATTTCTGCTGCAAACGATATCATCCAGTCACATGATTATGATCTGTTGGAGTACCTTTTTGAATAAAAAATATTATTTTCAGCAATTTCCTTTGATTTTCTTTACGATCTTGTTCAAACTTCTTCTAAGAACAACGAAATCATTTGTTAATGATTTTGGAACTGTGTATATGTAGTTTCTGAACTTTTTTTAAAAAAAAAACTAATTTATACAATTTGAACATGTAAATTATTCTCTAAGTCGATAAATGAAAAGGAAACAGATTTCTTTTAAGTGGGTTTCGAAATCAAACGGAGTAAGCGTTTTGTGTAATTCATGTGCCAAACAAAAGCTTTTTCCTATGAATCTTATGCTTAAAATAAAGGTATCTTAGCTACTCAAAAGATGGATGTTAACTGTCACTTATGTTTGGCACTTCATTCAAAATTAATATTAAACATTATTTTTATCCTTATGTAGTAATTCCTCACCAATGAATTGGTTTGATTTCTTATGATATCAAAGCCTTAGAATGAATTTTAATAGAGCAGGCGCTTCTAAGTTTCTCAATAACTGTTAATTCAAGAAATCTTTATTTTCTTCTGGAATTGTATCTTTCAGGCAGAATATTTTCCACTTCGTGTGATGTCCTTAATGTTTCTACTACTGTTGAATCTCTTTTGTGCTGACGAAGCGTATCATCTTGAACTGATCCACATATGCTAGGTACTATTTTATGAGTAAATGATTGGGTGAAATGAAATGGAAAACGCATATTTTATTGAACTGTTTCTGCAAATGTTTTTTTTTACCATATTTCTGTCGTATTTTACTTTAAAAAACGCTTAATTTATTGCATTTACAGGCTACACCCTTGGTACAAAATGAATTGTTTGTAAAAAATTCAAGTTATAAAAAGCAAATAACCAATCTTCATCGTGTAGGTTTATATTGAAAATTATGATTTATTTTTCGCTATTAGAATTCTTATGATAAATTTCGATGTGAAACACAATAAAAATCTATATTAGTGAATGATGTTTGTATCTGACAGAGAAAATAGTAACAAAGATTTACAGTTTTCAATGTTCCACTTCAGGACGTTCAGACTGGAAATGTAGTATGTGTAAAACTGTGCATTTTTATACTGCTTTTTATGTGTACAACCCTATGTGTAGTCATTTGAATGAGTTTGATAGCTCAGGTACGTGTGTCTCTAGGGGAAGTTCGATATCTCTATCGATATCGTATAAGTTATAAAACTAAGAAAAGATTTTTTGAAGTATTGTACAAGTGATCCAAATAAAACCTTTGAACCTCCTACATTTATTATTATTCAAAATAATACACATCATTATGAATCTACATTAATGAACATCAATAAAAATACACTACTGATTTGAGTTATATGTACGACAGTATTTACATTGAAATAAGTTTAAAAAAACACCTAGAATTATCTGCCTATTATCACTTCAAAAAAGTTGACAAATCCTTTAGATCTCAAACGTATACTTACATACTTATGAAGAGACTAGCTACAATAGACTTTGAATAAAAAATTTATGCCATGAATTGATTTTGAGGATTTAAAGTTTATTTGAACTTTAGGAAAAAAGAGTGAATAACCAGTGAACGAGCTTGACTTATGATTCATCAACGTATAGCAGTTCACCATTTATTCATTCTACTAGTTTTAATGTTTAGTTGTTTAAATTATTCGACCATAGTATATACCAGTTTTTATATTTGTAATAATTCAGTAACTGTGTCGACTATTGTTTGTGCTCGCTTACCCGGTTATTATTATGTCTAACCTATTATTGCCTGATTAAAAATACTTAGTAATGATTCAATGCATCAGATTTGGTTCACTCATTTTCTCCGATTCGCTTCGCGTTGCTTGTACGCTTTTAATTCTCATATATGTCTGCTTAAATGAATGCATGAAAGAAATTCACCTGATAAACCGTATTTGGCTGCTTCTTACCGCTGTCGCACAAAAAGGTTCGCCCAAGTATAATATACGAAAATGGAAAAGAAGATTTATTTCATTGCATACTAGATCATTCGTCCAAAATGTAGTCAAATCACAAGCCACGGGAAACGCTTAACTCGTTTTGAACAGGCATAAAATATGCTTTTTGCAAGACTAGAACAAACCATCCAATTTTTCAAAAGAATTACATTTGTTTCATATTATGAATATTTTCTTTACAGAATTGTGTTGAATTCATTATTTTTAGTGAAAAATCTTTGTAAAAAAAATCACTTTTATCTAGATTTTAGATGAATTACGTAGACAGATAAGTGAACTGAAAGAAGAAAATAGAAATTTGCGTGCGCAATTACAAGAATATGAAAATTGGGCTGAAAAAAGTATGTTCTCTGCCATGTTATCTATTAGTGTCATATTATGTTTTTCGAAAAATAATTCACTTTTTTTTAATCAATGATTATTGTTATACAACTTTATGGTTAAATGAGATTACTGAAAGTTGATTAGTTAAAATATCAATTAAAAAAAAAGCAACTACTTTGAATTTTAAAAATCTAATGACTTGATGCTTCAAATTGAATTTTATCCCATAACTCAATATGTCTTGATATAATTTATCTCGTATATTTTGTTAAGGTCGTGAATTTTATAATCGACGAAACTTGAATTCTGTGTAAACTTGATATGCGCTTCCGGTTGATGATATAAACAAAAATGGTAATAAAGTTTTAAAAAATGCGGATTTCGAAAACATTCAGTCCATCTAAATTAACTGGTACACGATTTCAAATAATGTAACTAGGAAATTTTTTAACTAAGTAATTAGTAGCTTTATAACAAACAGACTAATGAGTTACATATCTGTTGTCTTTAAATATTCAGTCCTATTGATTTCTTGAGAATTTTATGTGAAGTTACCGATTCATTTTTCAGGATTTGATAAGTAGTAAGGTGTCTGGGATTTTAAGTTTATTTAATGTGTGAATATCGCGCATAAAAATGTAATTTTCACCAAAAATTTAATTGTAACACCTAATTTTTCGGATATTTGTGGACTGGGTAGGATGCGCTTAGCTAAAATGATCATAATAAAAGGTTGTGTAAAACTTCAGATACTCGAAATTAAATTGTCAGTCGAAATTGCACTCTTAAATACAGCATTCGCTCACTAAATGAACCAAAAAATGTCCGAAAATTGTGGATAGTGTGAATCTGTTGAACACGAAAAGTTAAGTGAATAAACTCACATTGAACTTCGTTTTCCAGTGACCATTTTTTAGTTACTTATTACTAAATAGATCAATTTAGAACTGGACTAATTCAGATTCAATTCTTCTTCTTCAACGCCAAGGGTTTTAACAATACAACTTCCTTTTAAGAATACAGAAGCCTTCCTGAAAGTTTCATCTTCTCTCTGTTCTTCACTTGTAGATTACTTGCATTATTATGTTTTAGTGCATTAGTTATCTGATCAATCTTGTATGCACAGATTTCTCATAGTCGTTCATGATTCCGAATCAATTCAGGGTAATCAAATTACAATGTGACAATAAGCTGGGGCACGAATCTCCCTGGTTTTCATTGCACTTTGATGTCCAGCTTTATTTTAAGTAGCCGAATGAATAACAAGCTTAAATCCTTTCGATAAATTATCAAACTTCAAAAATAGAATAAATCAAAAGAAACATTTGTTCTATGATGCGTTAAATCAATTTAAGAGAATCGTAGAAAAATATATGATAGTTAATTTATTTCCTAGATTTTTGTCGAATTCTAATCCGTTGTTTGGAAATTCCATTATACAGACTTTTAGTTCTGCATTCTATGCATAACAAGCAAACTATGAATAGCTTTTAGTTACCGAAATCAGGATCAATTCTACTAACATTGCTGATAAATATATGTAAATATATATAATCTCGTTCAAATCACTGTTATCCAGTAGATTTCAAGTAAAATTAAGTACTCACTCCTTGTCAATCCCCATTCGTGATCGATTTGTTGAATGAATTGATACTAAATAGCAGTAGAATGTTTCACTAAAGTTGATAGGGAACACAAACTAGATTTTTTATAATTAATGATGCCAAAAAACAGTGTGTTATGAAAATAAAATTTTGGAATGCAAAAGAGAATGATATTTCTTTGGAAAATATATACATTCTAGTTGCTATATATATATATATTTGAAACCATGAATCAATCAATGTTAGACCACCATTAGAAGCCTGGAAGCATTGGACGGCCGTTTCGTCCTGGTATAGGACTCATCAGCAGTTCTCATACACGACTCCTGCTCCGCGCAGGACTCGAACCCAGGAGCAGGATTGTGGATACGCACTGCTGATGAGTCCTATACCAGGACGAAACGGCCGTCCAGTGCTTCCAGGCTTCTAATGGTGGTCTAACATTGATTGATTCATGGTTTCAAATGTGTAACTTAACAATCTTCACAACCCCATAATTTATATATATATATATATATATATATGTAAAAGATTACAATTCTTGTTATAGACTTTGATAAACAATGTGCAGAAATACAAGATGAAAAAATAAATGAATCAACATTTTTATGGCATGCAAAATTAAATGCTCTTTTAGATCAATACAGAGCAGAAAATGAAGTTCTAAAGTGAGTGATCATCAGTGCTGTCTAGTTCCCCTTATCATTTTGTTTTTTTTAACTATATTTTTGATTAGTCATTTTAATAAATTTTATAATGAACATTTTAAAAACTTCATATTATTCGCTTTTATGAGGATAATCAACTCTTTTCATTGCTAAAAAAAATACATTTTATATGATAAATTCATATCCTGATACAGTTTACATGCTACTAATAATATAAATTAGGTAAAAACATCCACTAACTATTTAGTCATTTATATGTAATAAAAATATCTGACAATAAACTATTCTAAAGCAGGTACTAACTGCTTAGTAGTATTTTCGCCCTTTATTATAAATCTTATTGGAATATTCGCCGTATTTTCTAATTATGTTCAATGATAAGTGATAATATTAGTGAAACCCATTTAAGTGTTAACTCTTATTGATGATTTAATTATTCCATTCACCTTACTAATTAGTAATAGCATCATCGAGCATACATTGGTTGATCAATCCAGTTTAATGTTTTTATGTTGATAGATATCTAGTAAATAATGGGTAATAAGATCAGATCAGAGATTTTAGTGTGCTCAGAGAGACTACTATTTCAGTGTTTGGGCGTTGGCGCACAATACCGAAGGTCCTAGGCTCGAATCCTGCTGGGTGGAGTCGTGGTTGCGCACTGCTGATGAGTTATATAGCAGGACGAAACGGCCGTCTGGTGGTTCCAGGTTTCTAATGGTGGTATAACATTGATCGATTCATGGTTTCAAAAATGTATAACTTTAAAATCTTCACAACCCTGTAATGCAAACTAGATTCTGACAAAATTATTTTTCGACCTTTTTTAACAATAATTTTTTAAAATAATGTTTGTCTTAATTAGTAGAAAAACGTAAAATGTTTTCTATTATTGGTGAAGATAATTATTTTTTGATAAGATTGTTTGAATATAAAATAAATTTATTTGAATAATCGTTTTTAGGAACAGAAGTTGTTTCAATGGTTAGGTTTATCCCGATGTTGATATACTTACTTACTTATGCCTGTTACTCCCCGAATGGAGCACAGGCTGTTGACCAGCATTCTCAAACCCACTATTTCCTAGGCCGTCGTTTCTGCTCTCTGTCCAACTGTTGTTCCTTCGTCTCATGTCTGTCTCCGTTTCTCGGTGCAGCCGATGTTGATCCATTTAACTGAAATTTGACTGGTTGGTATATGGGCAACCTGTTCTGATTGCCTTGAAATACCCATTATTTCACAAATCTATACATAATAGATAGGATGTGATGAGCGGTGGAATCCGAGAAATACATTTCGTCCTATCCAGGACTTGTCAATCAGACAACCTCTCATCCCAGAATTTATATTTACCTCAGGATTCGAACCTAGTACCTTTGGCTTTAGGAACCAACGCACTGTCAACTTAGTAATCGAATCCAGATAGCTACTCACATATGCAACGCGTATGAAACTTGATTTAATTTAAAATGTTTTGCAATGATCAAATTCACTCAAAATATCAACAATGGAATGACTGAAATGCGTATCCTTAATTTCATTGTCAGTTACATTTCATTTATTTCATATAGAAAAGGTGTAATATTCAAGTTGACAGTTTTTCAAATGTACGCTCTATCCATCACGTAAGATTTTCACTACCACTGCAACTTTCACTAATTTATTTGTCAACAAGAACAATCAAAGAATTTTTTTCATCTCTTGAGTTACTTGCAATAGAATATTTGTAATCTTTTTTTATTTAAAGAGAATTTCATTTCAGTAGCTCAATGAAACTTTAGTTTAAATTTGAACAAATAGTTTCACAATAGCTAGACACTGAGACATTAAGAAGAAAAACTACACTGACCGTACTGCTAATAGGTCCAGTACCAGGACGAAACGGCAGTTCAATCCTTCTAGGTTTCTAATGGTGATCTAACACTGATTCATTCATCATTTCAATGTGTAAAAGAATCTTAGAGAGTGAATTTTTTTTCTAAATCCAATGTTTCACTCGGTAATCTGGTTCAAGCTTTGTCAAAGAAATATGAACAATATTATGAAAAGCGAAGAGAGACATGGTTCTCCGGTTAACTGTATGACCTATTTAGTATACTGTTAATCGGAGAACCATGTCTCTATTTGTTTTTAATAATATTGTTCATATTTCTTTGACAAAGCTTGAACCAGATTACCGAGTGAAACATTGGATTTAGCAAAAAATTCACTCTCTGAGATTTTCATCAATATAATTTTCTTTCTTAATATCTTAATAATTATTTTAACATTGTTTTCAATTGTCTACTGATCAAAAACTTCAGAGTGATTTATCTTATTTGTAAACTTTAAAAAAATTGAACTCTGACATTATTCAATAAAACCTTTGAAACACCTGAATCGGATTAAATATCTATCTGTACGTTAAAAAGTGTTTTTTCTTTTCTTTTCAATATCCTACATAATTTATATAAAATAGTATGCTATAGTTTCACATGTATTATGTTTAATTAATACATGCTCCAAATTGTTTTTCTGTATTTCAAGATCGCATAATTACACTTTAAATGAAACTCAACAAGCATTATATCAAGATCAAGAAATTATACAACAACAGAATAATAAATTAAAACAAGAAATCGATGAATTGAAGAGGTATCTTTACCACTGCGAAATAATTTATAGTGTTTATACAATTTAATCATTGCATTTTATTTAATGTGGATAACGAGTAATGATTGGTGGAATATTTATGAAACCTCTAGATTATCGATTCGATCTTTAGCATGATTTCAAATAGGAGAAGTGCTTAAATGCAGCAAAATAATTAGTGTCTTTTTAAGATTATTGATAGTCAATAATTATTTAATCGAATATTATTCATAAGTGATATGATATGTATTTTCAATTAGTAGAGTATAAGATAAAGTCATTTCATATTTAACATTATTCCCTATGTATAACTATTCATTTTTAGGCTGAATAGCACGGTATTATTATAGGCTAACTTAAAAGTTGTGTCAAAAAAGAAATATTATCAGAAATGTACTGATTGTGATTTGTCTCTTGAAACTGATACACACAGTGTGAACAGTTGACTGTTATCCACCAACCCAATTGTTAATATGATAGTTGAATGAAAAAAAGATACTAAGCGATAGAATAACTTGTCAATAAAAAATGAATACATTACTACACATTTATCTATAAAAAAAAACATTTTGATGAGAATTACATATGATTTTAAGTCATCCTTAACCGTTTTCTATTGGTTGAGTAAGTCATTCATGAACTTAATAAATTAAGGTCTTACTTTGCATTACGAGGTTGTTGTGAAGATTGTTAAGTTTTATTTGAAACCATAAATCGATCAATGTTAGACCACCATTAGAAACCTGGGAGCACTGGACGGCCCTTTCGTCCTGGTATGGGACTCCTCAGCAGTGCGCATCCATGACTCTAATGGTGGTCTAACAATGATCGATTCATGGTTTCAAATAAAACTTAACAATCTTCACAACAACCCCGTAATGTAAATTACCTGTGCTCACTAGTGACTAGCTTCGTTAGGGATCTCCGAGTTCTAGTGGGAGGACGTGACCAGTGAAGTTCAACCTGTTCGGGTGTAGACAGTAACTACCGAAGACTGTGTATGAGGTTGCGCAACTCGGTGAATTGATCACGTTAGTCATTAACATCGTTAGATACCGGCTCAGTGGTCCGATGGTTAGGCGTTCGCCTACAATACCGAAGGCCCTGGGTTCGAATCCTGCGAGGTGCAGGAGTCTTGGATGCGCACTGCCGATGAGTCCCATACCAGACGAAACGGCCATCCAGTGCTTCCAGGTTTCCAATGGTAGTCTAACATTGACCGATTCATGGTTTCAAATCAGGTCTTACTACCAAGATTACTTGTTACTTGACCTGGTCTACTAAAAAGTAAATCCATAGATGTAATGATGACAATTCATCAGTTTAGAAAAAAAAGCGTTGAGTTTATACATATAATGTTGTGATAATTTTTTTTAAGGATTTAACTGATTACCATTAAACAAAACAATAAAACTTTATTTTATAAAATACAGGAAATTGATTTTTAATCTTAAGATATTTCAGCAATACATTTGATCATTTGTAATAATAATATAACGATTCTCAAGAGCACAATACTTAACTAGTAAATGTTAGTGCGATAAAATGTTAAGGTATGGTATGAAAAAATTACATTTCAAGGTTAAATATTCCACAGTGGTGAACCGAATACGGTGAACTCTGAATCACTAAATTTTTTTTCGAACTAATCACTGTTTGTCATACTTAAATTCTACAAACCATTTTCATTTCAGTTTTTGTTACATAAGAATGAAAATTGAAGGAATGACAACTTCTAGAACTAATTTGTGAACTATCATTAAACAGATATTTACTATATAGCTATTGAGTGACTAGATTGCAATGTATATATATATATATATATATATATATATATATATATATATACCACCAGCTTTCGTTTAATTCAATGACTACTGTTGTACGATTTACTATTCGTAATTTTTTTCCAAGTGTATTATTTACAGTCTTGCTTATTTATAGCCATTTTTTGGCTTGTATATGTGTAATTGTCATTTTTCATTTTATACGGTCTGATGAGGTCAGGTCTGTTTGCATAAAAGCTGCGTCTCTTTGAAATATTAGTACAGTCCAGACTGTTTGCTGACTTCTGGATTTAAGGATATGGTAGCGAGAGCCTCTGAAGAACCGTTAACCAATAGGAAGCTAGCTAGCTGCTGGCGCTAGGTTAACAACGGTCAGTGGACCCAAAATTAGCCAAATCACAGGTGCTAAGTTACAGCGGACACAAAATAAATAAAATTAGAATCACGATTCCAGTTAGTGGCTTGTCTTGCAAAGAGTCTTGTATAAAGAGTTTTACTTGTTCATGCAGTTATTAGACTAAACAAAATTTGGTCGCGATCATATGTTATTTTATATATCTTCGCACATGAATCAACATATATATATTATAAAACAACTCTAATCAACATTTACCATCGGGAAGTCTATATGTATGTAACAAGAGTCTATTGAAGATAGTGAACACACTACATCCATAAATAACTGTACTATACCAAATATAATCTACTATAATCAGTTACACAGCAACCTAATATTTGAACTAACTTTAATGATACTCGATCAACTGCATGCTATTTAGGATAACAAGCACTAAACTATACTGATGAATAATTATTTTAGCTAAATATTCACTTTTTATTATATGGCAAGTTTTATCCAGTAAAACTGCATTTTCTACTCATTTTAAAATGATCATCAGTATGAGTACACATGAATAAGTTATAATAATTTGAGTTTCAAGTTTTACAATCACCAGAACCAGCATTTCAATAAAACAATAAAGGCAAATGTTTATCCATTCAAAGCATTTCTAATGAAACATTTAAGGAAAATAATCTACCGATCTTTTCAAGTAAATATTGGCACTATATCATTAGGTTACGCGTTCGCGCACAATACCAAAGGTCCCGGGTTCGAACCCTGCTAGGTGCTGGAGTCATGGATGCGCACTGCTAATGAGTCCCATACCAGGACGAAACAGCCGTTCAGTGCTTCTAGGTTTCTAATGGTGGTCTAACAATGATTGACTGATGATTTCAAATGTGTAAAAACACTAATCTCCGTAACTCTATTAGAAAACTATATCATTAGCCAATTGGAAAGTGGGTAACAAAATCGATATCATTGTAGTTTATTGTAAATATAATATAATAAATAATAAATATATATAATATAAATATAGTATTTAATGATTATATTCATTATTATGCTATTACTCTAATGAATTTCAGATCACAGAATCTTATCTTAGCCAGATCTCAATCGGTATTACGTGAAGAAAGAGAACGTATGAATAGAGAACAAGAAGAACTTAGTCGAGAGTTAGCAAATGTAAAAAAGTAATTTGATAATTAGTTCAACATATATATTTTAAGATATTCTCAGTAAACAATTTATATACTTTTTGAAATATTGTTTCAAGAATATAAAGGAGAAATTGAAAATTATGTTATAAAACATTACGCAACATACAAGAACATCACATCACTTCCTTAGGTTTTTTAACTATAAAATATAGTAACTTCTCACGAAAGAATTAAGATAACTAAGTATTATTCAACACTTGTAAAGTATATCAAACTTCCTTATTAGATAAGCCCATTATTTTAATCATCTTTATTCAAAACATTTTGGCAGTGGAATTTTAAAAATAATCTTTTTTTCTCAAAACAAAATTCTTTTTATAAGTCATCAAAGACAATATTTATCTTGATTATCTTAAATTATAAATCAGTTTAAATGCCTCATTAGTAAATCAGTAAATTAGTTTACCAGACACTTTCAAGGTTATAAGTTCTGATTATCCAATCACATAATCGAATTATGCCAGGATGATGAAAGTATCTAGAATACTTAACAGCTTTGTTAAGTAGAAGGTTTCCTGTGATGATGAAATAAACCACTTATCTGATATGAAAATCATCAGTCACTCAATTGACAGAAACTAGATTCTTGTCGAGAATTTAATTCAAGTGGTTGGATTACACAACTAAGAAGAGACACTTACTTATCACTTAAACATGTGCTCGCGAAATTTAAGAAAAGATTATTTATTTCTGAATTGGTTCCATACACATTTGTCAGAATTTACACATTACCTGCTGATGAATGTGAATGGTGTCAACGCTGTTTAAGTGAGGTTTGAAATGCGAACCCTTAATCACTGGTTCATATGTTTTATCGATGATAGCCAAAGATAAAGAAGGTCTAGGGTTAGATCTCTCTTGATTATGCAAGTATGTACTACCAACAAACTTAAGACAAAGAGAAAACTAGTATAAAATGTTGCTTAGTTTCTAGTGACGAGCTGTTTAAAATAAATTATCTTAAAACTAGGATAAAGTATAAAATTCATGTACTGTAAATAGATATAAACATTATGTTAAGAAATTAGTTGCATACTTGCTGATGTGATATTTATAAACTAAAACTTAAACATGTCTTTTTCTTTTTCTAAATATAACTCTTCTGCTTACCATGTATATTAGAGTTTTCGTTTTAAGATATTTTTCATGAAATCTTCTTTGGAGACTATAGACTAGCAAAAAGTATATTATCAAATGCATTGCAACTGCTAACCAGTGAAGACAGAAACCTTTGAGAATAACAGCCACATGTGTTTACTTATAATAAAGCTCACTAAGTAGGAAAGTTAAAGACAGCATAAAGAAATATTTAACCGTAGTGGAGTATATGAACACGTTGACTAAACTGTTTCATATTCTCAACACGAAATGTTTTGATTTTATTGATAATTTTATTTTTTAAAAATTCATCTTCTTTTCTAGGAAACTGGCTCAATCACCAACCCCATGTCCTATCCATCATGGATATCAACGGTCCAATATACCAGTTCGTAATAATGATAATTATTCTGTTTACAATCATACAAAACAACCTATACTCAACAGACAAGAGAGAGGTATGTCTTTTGGTTAAGAAGAAAAAAAGTCTGTAACCAACACATTATTAATCATGAAGAGTAGTTATTCGGTATTTGAATTCATGTGAACCGCTGAAAAGTTCACTAAACTTACTTGCCATAAAATTAACTGCTTAACTTTGGAAACACCAGTTAATTAAGGATTTCTTAATCACTAAATTATCCTTAATATTCCTGAAGAGTTGTGTTGGATTTCTTCTGAAAATGAATCAACTTTTTCCAATAGTCCCTGAATAATACGATCGTAGAAAGCTGGAAATCTCGGAATTTTTAGAAAAGATAGTTGAAAAGTCTATCTATTTCCAAACAAATATCGACTAAACAGTACAGATCAAAAAACCAACACCGACAATAACAATCAAAATATATTTTTTATTCCCGATGGTTTTTTTTAGAAAATAATTTCTAATTGCGACCACAGTAAGAAGCTTTATATTTTTGGAAAATGTCAAATTAAAAATGTTGAATTTAAAAAGACCAAATATTCACACTACGTCAGGTCCTAGAAAAAAGACACATGTTAAGACGCCCCACAATAGTAGTATTTCTCGACCTTAAAGCGGCATTTGACTCTGTGGATCGTGAGGCTCTGTGGCAGTGCCTGTCATTAAAAGGTGTACCAAAGAAGTACATTAACCTTATACAGGCTCTCTACTCGAACACCACTGGTCGAGTGAGAGCCTACGGTGAATTGTCATCGGAATTAATAACTTCAAGTGGTGTCCGTCAAGGATGTCCACATTCTCTATCCTTGTTTAACTCTATCATAAATATGCTTTTAGAGATAGCATTATCTACGTCCGAATTTTCAGGGGTGGACCTGGATATTCGCTTGTTGACTTAGAATATGCCGATGATATGGTTCTGTATGGTGAAAACGCTGACAAAATGCAGAGTCTTCTGACTACCCCAAGCAACAATGCAAGCATGGCTCGATTGGCTTTTGCCAACTTGCGTCACCTATGGCGAAGGCGAGATATCCGTTTGCTAACCAAAGGACGAGTGTACTGTGCAGCAGTTCGCTCTGTCCTACTATTCGGATGCGAAACATGGAGGTTAAGAGTAGAAGACATTTGTAGGTTCTTAGTATTCTATTATATATGTCTTCGAAGCATTGCTCGTATATCCGGGGACAACCGAGTGAGCAATGCTATAGTTAGGAGACGAGCATTAGGTAAGGATGACAGATCAGTAGATGAAGTATTAAAACTTTAACAGTAGAGGTGGTTGGGATATGTTTTACGAATGCCTAAACACCAACTGCCTTGACGAGCAATGTTTTGTGGTGTAGGAGTAGGCTGGAAGAAAGCTAGGGGCAGCCAGACTAAAACATGGCAGAAATCCATGAAGTCACTGACAAGTGGACTGAGTCATGTCGGTAGGTGTAAACTACCTGGATGGGGTCCGCGAGATGATAGTAATCGACGGTTAGAGACCTTGAATGACATGGCTCAAAACCGTTTGCAGTAGCGTAGGTGCAATCATCCATTGTGTTCTCCCAAATTCTAACCTCCTGAATTATTTGTAAGTATGATATATTTCATTAAGAAGCTACCAGCATCAAAACACCAGGAGATATTTTCCTCACAAGATGAATACGTTTAATAATTGGGATTTTTTGAGGAGTAAAGATGAAAAGAAATTAAGGTAGTTGAGCTTGTACCGGTTACTTGCAAAAATAAATAAGTTTGATAAGAACAAACGTTGAACATCTGTGCCCAACCACTGCTAGACATCTACATGAAATGAATTATATTATTTATTTAACAATACTTACTTGAATAATGAAATCAATTAGATGGCAATTTAATTCTGCAACTATTTCTGCTCACACAACCACCTTCAAAACCCTAACTTTAAAAGATAGTTACTGACCATCTAACTGAAAAATAATACGAAAGCGAAGCTATTAGTAAAGTAAAAAAAGTTTAGTCGAAACATGTTGACTGAAAGTCACTCGTCAGCTGACAAATAGATAATCAAGAATGAAAGTAAAGGCTACAAAGCAGTCAATAACTGTCCAGTTCAACTCCTTATACCTTAGTACTAAATTCACTATCCGATTCAGTTATATTTATAGTTAATTGAGATTTCAAGAGGACTAGCAACTTTGTTTTTCCTTATTCTGTTGCTTGTTTGTAAGCAATATCGATCTAAGATATAATTTTCACAAATACAACCTTGATGAACACAAAATACTTTAATAGACTGCAATTATGCCCTTAATATAGGAGGTTATGATTTCCACTGTTATCATTACAAAAGCATCATTTTTCAACTGTATGAATTACTATGGATTAATCTTTTTTTCTTCAACGCCATTCTTACCAGAACCAAATAGAGTAAAAAGAGTTCGTATCTGTTCTGCTGAGCATTCAACCAGGCTACCAAGATTGAATATTCCAGGCCACACAGCCAATGTACCTCTAAGTGAGTAGACGTTACTTTAAATCGTGTTTTGAAAGATATCAACTATTTCTTGTAGCATTAAAATTCTACGATCTTATGGATAAGTAGATAGACAAAGTTTATCATTTCAAAGATATTTTTAAATAGTATAAAGACAAAGATTATTAAAACTATGTACCCTGATTCCATATTAAATTCTCGTTGTGTACAAGAATTAAAACAACCAAACTAAACAAACAAAAATATCGACATTATCAGGGTAGATTTAGTGAAATGCCTTTAAACGTAGAATAGGGAATCGAATTTTCTCATGGTTAAAGCTTCAGTCGATCTTACTATTCGCCATAGATCATTTCTATACTAAGAATCTGATCCCAGATAACTTAAATGACACATACTCATTAGGTTTAGGAGGAAAAGCAACCATCACCTGTTCTAATTCGACAATCAGAATTTCATTATTTTTGTGATCATTGAGAAGTATGTTTGAATCACCTTTATTTGCATATCACGTTTACTCCTCTCTATGCTGATATTGTCATTGTTATAACTATCCATTATTACTGCGGAATAAACTGCTAATTATTACTTGTTCAACGGGACAAGACCAATATGGTTCGATGCACCAACCACTAGCTTTGTAAATGATCAGAATGACATCAAATATACTATGTAATATATCATTTTAAATGTTCGATCAGTAGGTAATTTAAATGCATCGAACTGACGGTACTTAATATTACTTTGTCAATAATTTAATATTAACATAAAATCTACAAAATTAATAGACTACTTGATTCAGCTAACAAATATAGATAAACTAATGAATTATATATTTTGCTTCCTGTTAATACTACCTATCTGTCCATATACAAAAATGTGGATCGATAACCAGAATGGGACCCAAGATAAACGATCACGTATTATTTAGTTTCTTAGTGAAGTATGAGTTTTGTTTCTTTCATTCATGATTATCTTGGCTTCACAACAAGTTATACTGACAGCTTACTTAGGCGTTTGTTCCAATGTACAACCATTATGCTCACCTAAATATTAGGATGTGATGTCTTCTAGTGTTTCATCATTGGTTTATGAATTCCAATAATTGTGCATCATGCACCAGTCTTCTATTGAATAGCTTCACTTCATCTAATAAATCGTTTTCGCAAATACGGCTGACACAGTTCAGTGTTCCCACAATCAAATATTGTTTGCACCGGATTTTAGGTATGACTAGTGAGATACTTCTCTGTACGCAAAAACTGGTTTTAAATATGGAGTTTGATCTAAACATACTTTCTTTGCACGTTGAAATCATCAATCAATCATTGTTAGAATACCATTATAAACCTGGAAGCACTGGAAGGGCGTTTCGTCCTGCTATGGGACTCATCACCAGTGCGCATCCACGACTTCTGTACTCACAGGATTCGAACCCAGAGCCTTTGGTTTTGCGAGCGAACGCCCAACCTCTGGATCACTGGGCCGACATCCAACGGCTAGGGATTTTATGCGACCTCACCAATTTGTCTTCGGTAGTTACTGCCAACACCCAACAGGGTTGAAATCCACTGGTCACGTCTTCTCACTAGAACTCCGAGAATTTCGTCACGAAGCTAGTCACTGGTAAGCACATTTAAGTTTTTTTCAAATTAGAGTTATGGAGATCAGTGTTTTCACACGTTGATTGATGATTTCAACGTGTAAAAACACTGATCTTCATAACTCTAATTGAAAAAATTCTTTCTTTGACTGGTGAGTATATTACAAGAGAGAAGACAGGTTACTTACCCAGTTTTCGTATGAAAGAGTACTCGGATTTTGTAGACTGGTAAGTAATTCGAATCTTTGGGTAGTGATGAGGAATTCAAAAGATTCACGAAACTGAAATACGCACTTGATAAACGGAAAACTAGGCAAGCATTTAAGAAAGTAATTTACAGTTTCAGGTTACAAATTGATGAAGATATAAACGAGATGAGACATGTTTGAGTGATTATTTCATTATCTACAAGTTCAGTTCAAGAGAATTTGATGATGCCTTTTATCGTTAAATATTTCTTCATATATTTTTCCTATGATGTTATCCAAGTATGTCTCTAAATCATCTATTGGTTTGCAAGTTGATTATCATCACTGAAAACTGGATAGGACTAGATACATAACTTGCTTCATATTGAGAATCCTCAGCGTTACACATCCACAATTACAAGAGCTTCAGATCTGACGCTGAAAGCAGCTTCTATACATACGGAATCTAAGTAGTATATTATTTAGTTCTTGTTTTTCACTATAGTCACAAACCATCCTGTTTATTGAATGGTTCCATATATCGGCTCCCATAGTGTCTTAGGATGTCAGACAACAGCCTAATATTCGGTCCACATTTTTCGTTGAGACTTTCTTTAACACTGACAGTCAATGCCTTAGATTTTTATGTCCAGTCTACTAATCAAGCTGTTTTCAATTTGATTAGCATGTAATCATTTGCACAATTTCTGTTCTTTTTTTAGAAAGATCGAAGAAACCAGATACTCAAATAAATCATATTTTAAGAAGTACTGACTATGCAAAACAAAACGCAAAT